TTCCCCTCCCCCATTTCTGATGAAGGGTCTAGGCCCGAAACGTCAGCCTTCCTGCTCCTATGATGCTGCTTGGCCTGCTGTGTTCATCCAGCTCTACACCTTGTTATCTCAGATTCTCCAGCATCTGCAGTTCCTACTATCTCTGATACAATCCAAATACAGACCGGTTTACAAAAGAGTTAAACAGAAGAGTCTGTGAACTTTGAATGGTTCCATTTTTACTGTATTTTCAATTCAAAAAGCTGACAAAAGTATCTCTGAAAGGGACTAGCCATCCGATTCCCATTGCCTTCTCTTTCTTAACAGCTCTTCTGAGCTCTTACCTAGGGAGCCCTACCTTGCCTGACTGGATACAAGTTTGTCACTTTCAACCATAGGCTAGTCAATAGGGAACAGTAAACTTCCAGTCACATTATCATGTGTGAAAGCAGTATGACATGAAGCCGAACACTAAAATCAACTGTACCAGACAACTGTCCTTAATAAAAAAAAACAAAATTTGTCGGAGAAGCTTAGCATGTCTGGCAGCATCTATACAGAAAGAAACAGATTTAACATTTCCAGGCTAAAATTAGTCTTCTTCTGAACTGTTTTTACCCCCTTTTCCTATCAGCATCCTAAAAATATCAACCTCCATGAAATCCTGCTCCAATCCTCAGTCAGTCTCAAAAAATGGTCACTCAACCTACATTTGGTTTCTCCAATGCAAAGGAGATCACACTGTGATCACCAAATGCAAGAGACTAGATAGAAGGAAGTACATGTAAATCACCATTTCACCCGGAAGGAAAGTCCAGGACTTTGGGAAGAGGAGGCAAATTACACCTTGTGTTTCTGTGGGCTTTTAGGGTTCCTCCACTGCAACCGAATCCAGAGTCGAGCAGTTGCTTTCACAACGTGGTGTCAGGTGTATGATCTATACTGAAGCAAATTTAGAGCAATTAACATCTTGATGCTAGGTATGTGTGCTTTGGAGAGGATGCTGTAAATTGGACTGCCTTCTTACAACGGGATTTGAAGGATTTTGTGAAGTTTCTGCTGGTGGTACCTCTCCAGTGCTTTGAGATGCCTCCTGCAGGCTGCCCAAGACTCTGAAGCACATACAAGTGGTCACTGAGGCCAGTAGATCATCACATTAGTCTCAAATATGAGATCCTAGGCCTCAAATACTCTCAATCTCAGTCAGCTGAAGGTTCAGCTGGCACAGTTGAGGTGATAAGAGTTTGATGCCCATTGAGAAGAGGCTCCCTAGATTGAGAAAACAGCCTACATTTTCCAGGACATTGCTGTTGATCTTATCGGGGACGGGGTTGTGCTACGGGAGCTGATTGGAAGAAGACCTTAGTTTTACAGTGGTTCAGTGAAAGGCCCATTTTCTCATCTGCTTTGCTTCTTTACTTGCTCCATTAACAGATCCTTCTGACTTTCACCATCAGCACTTCTCATCTTTTATTCTCTCTTGCCTTCCAACCTGCCATAAACCTTCCTGTTTGTTCTTTTCTCCTCTCCCCCATATTTCAAGCCCTGCTGAAAAACTTAAAAATCTTTCTGTATTCTCGCTTGTGAGCAAGGGTCATTCACCTGAAATATTAACTCAGTTTCTCTCTTCACAGACGCTACCACATCTGCTGAACATTCCAAGCATTTCCTGTTTGTGTAATAATTTGCATCTATAGACCACAATTAACACAGATTTTGATCTTCTTCCAATGCAGCTTCATGAGAAATGCAGAGATCAGCAAGCACTGGATCTTGCTTTTGTGGATCACATAAGCACATTGACCATAATGAGCAGGTCAGGTCTCCATTGGAGAAAAATAGCTCTGTAAGCTTCACAGTCCCAATGATCCTTCATGAACACATACACGATACCATTCAATCCGTCAGCTCCACCTCAGTTTTGAGAAGAAGGAAGAGATTGAGCAAGTCTGCACCTTAACCCCTGTTGTTGTTATTTTATCCTCGGGTCCTCCTGACTCATGCTATCCCTGCTGCCATGAAAGGTTTGTACCTCTGCATGCAATCAGATAGTAAACGTTGAGTCATAGGGATATACAGCACAGAAACAGACCCTTTGATCCAACTTGTCTATGCCGACCAGGTATCCCAAATAAATCTAGTCCCCGCTTTGCCAGCATTTGGCCAATATCCCTCTAAACCCTTCATATTCATATACCTATCAAGAATCCTTTTAAATGTTGTAATTGTGCCAATCTCCACCACTTCCTCTGGCAGCTCATTCCATACACGCACCACCCTTTGTGTGAAAACGTTGCCTTTTAGGTCCCTTTTAAATCTTTCCCTTCTCACCTTAAACCTAGGCCCTCATGAACAGACAGAAAACCAGCTTGCAAGACTCATGGATTGCCCATTTGATGGCTGTATCAAATTCTCCTTCGCCAGTGTCGAGAAAACTAAACTGAGGTAGTTCATTAACTTGGGTAGAGGATTTGCCAACTAAGATAGTCAGGTTAAAAGGGATATTGTCAGGAAGGCATGATATAAGGAGTCTGCAGAAGGATACAGGCAGGTTAAACGAGTTGGCAGAAACTTGGCTGATGGAACACAATACAGGAAAGAGTGACGTTATGCACTTTGGCAGCAAGAATAGAGGAGCTAAATATTGTTTAAATGAAGAAAAACTGCAGAAAGCTGCAGGACTGAAGGATTTGAGAGTCCACACTCATAAATTACAAAAAGCTAACACACAATTTCAGCAGCTTAGAGACAATAAGGTGAAATAAGATGCTGGAAGCCAGAGTCTATTGGCATGAGCCTGGAAAAGCACAGCAGGTCAGTCAGCATCTGAGGAGCAGGAAAGTCAATGTTTTAGGCTGAAACCCTTCGTCAGTCCTGTGGGAGAACACAAGCGAGAGAGCGAGCAACCAAGAGAGCAAGTGAGAGCAACAACGGGCAAGAAAGAGAGTGAGTGAGAGATAGCACGAGGGAGACAGTAAGTGAGAGAGAGTGTGTGCGCAACCAAGAGAGGGCGCGAGACAGCGACAGAGAACAAGCAAGAGAGCAACAGAGGCCGAGCGAGGAAGTGAGGGCGAGCGAAAGAGTGAGGGCGAGAGGGCAAGAGAGAGTGTGAGAGAGCTAGAGAGATACAGCAAGCAAGAGAGACAGTGAAAGAGAGCGAGAGAAAGAGAGAGCATGAGAGAGAGACAGCGCGAGAGAGAGCAAGTGACAGAGCGAGACAGTGAGCGACAGAGGACAAGCGAGAGAGAGAGTGAGAGAGCAAGAGAGAGCGAGCAAGAGACAGATTGAGGGAAACAGCGCACGAGAGAGAAAGAGAGATAGCGAGAGAACGAGAGAAAGAGCAAGACCGAGACAGCAAGACAGTGAGCAAGTAAGAGAGAGATCGAGAATGAGAGAGCAAGAGAAACAGTGAGAAAGAGAACGACCGAGCAAGAGCGAGAGAGCGAGCAAGAGAGAGCAAGTGAGAGATACAGTGAGCAAGCTAGAGAGTGTGCAAGCGAGAGAGCAAGAGACAGAACAAGAAAGGCAGTGAGAGTAAGAGAGACAGCGAGCAAGATAGAGAGTGAGTGAGATAGACAGCGAGCGAAAGAGCAAGACAGCGCAAGTGAAAGAGCGAGCAAGGGAGAAAGCAAGAGACAGAAACAGCAAACAAGTGAGAGACAGGGAGCAAGAGACAGAGCGAGTGAGACAGAGCGAGTAAGACAGAGCACGCAAGCAAGAGACAGAGCTAGAGAGCTCGAGCAAGTGAGCGCGAGCAAGTGAGCGCGAGCAAGACAGCGCGAGCAAGACAGCGCGAGCAAGACAGCGCGAGCAAGACAGCGCGAGCAAGAGAGCACGAGAGCGCAAAAAAGAGACAGAGCGAGGGAGAGAGCAAGTCAACAGGAGAGAGAGCGAGTGAGAGAGACAGCAAGCAAGAGTGAGAGAGACAGACAGCGAGCGAGCGAGAGAGAGAGACAGAGCAAGCAACAGCGAGAGAGAGAGAGCGCACACACACTACCATGCAGTAACAGTCAGAGGGAGAGAAAAGACACATTATGAAGCAGCACCACGACAAAGAATCTGATTAAAAACAGACTCACCAAACTCCTCCTCAGTCCGATTCCGGTGCAAATAGATCCACAACTTGCGCCCAATATCGTACTTCACACATGGATCTTTCTCATAGTGTAGTCTGTCCAGAGCCCCACTCACAACAGTGTTAATCTGCAAAAAGTCAAAGGCATATGCGGAGGATATGTGGGTGTCAAAGGTGAGCGGACTGCAAAATCAGTGTTGGATTCCACGGAGGGTCAGTTTCTTTCAGTGAGGCAACGTAATCAGAACAGTTACAGTTCCCCATGGTATTTCACAGACTGTTTATTACACACCATCCACTACATACATTATGCACGTCTTACAGATCTATATAATGCAGAGCCCCTCCTGGAGTGCTCTTCACCAACTACATAATTACAATTCCCTTCCACATGTATACAATCACAGCCTTCTCAATACTTTAGCATTTCAAACATTCAGTGAAGCTAAGAACAAATTTCTTTTTCACACTTGTGACAGTCCCTTTACCTGAGCACTGGTGACCTCAGGAGCAAGAAACTGGGAGTCTTTCAGCAGCTCGCAGATCTCTGCACGTGTCCCTTCTCCATTTGGAAGACGAGCAGCTGCATCTCGTACTGTGAGAGAGGAATGATTGTGTCACTCAAAATATTTAAACTGTCAAGTCATTTAAAGAGCTTCTCAGAAATGGAAGAGGGAATGAGATGAATACTGCAGATTTTGGAGGACAGAAACACCATCTCCTAAATAATGATACAAAACTTGTGCCAGCTCCTTTCCACACAACCCATGCCATTTTTAAGCAAAAGCAGAGATACTGGGTCTGCAGTGGACACAACACTAGAAACTTAAACCTATTAAAGGTAAGCGGGTGATTCAGAATCTCAGGACGTATGAGAGGTACAGACTCCATATCATAACTGGTAAAAAAAATTCTAATGTACCTACTGTCAGAGGTGATGACAGAGCTACGTCCCACTTCACACATGGTCAGATCTGCAACTTTCTCTGTATAAGTCCCTCCAAATACCCTGAATGTGGACATTTTCAAATCAACCTGTTCAGAAACATTATTACCTGTAGAGCAGGTTGGATTTGAACGCAGGCCTCCTGGCTCAGAGATAGGATAACGTGCACTGCATCACAGGAGGCCTGCTGATGAAGGCCAGTATAGATATTGCCTAATCAACCTGATCAGCAATGTTGCTGCAAACCTCTGGAGCAGGTGTAATTTGAACCCAGGACAGAGAAACTACCACTGTGCCACAAGAACCCTTAACATCCTAAATGCATTATTAAGAGCAACAGGATTGCCAGGGTAAGAGTGGGGCTGATGAGAAATCAAAGGGGTAACCTGTGCATGGAGCCAGAGGATATGGGTGAGGTCATGGAGTCATAGAGCTATACAGCATGGAAACAGACCCTTCGGTCCAACTCGTCCATACCGACCAGATATCCTAAATTAATCTGTTCCCATTTGCGAACATTTGGTCCATATTCCTCTAAACCCTTCCTATTCATGTACCAATCCAGACGCATTTTAAATGTTATAATTGTACCAACCTCCACCATGTTCTCTGGCAGCTCATTCCATGCATGCACCACCATCTGTGAAAAAATTGAAATAGCCCCAACCTATTCAGCACCTACGTATAGCTCAAACCCTCCAACCCTGGAAACGTCCTTGTAAATCTTCTTAAATCAATATTTCTCATCTGTATTCATAAAAGAGAAAGACATTGTAGTTGGGGATTTCAGTTGGGATGGTGAGGTTCGAGAACATGTTAAGATTAGTGAGGAAGAGGTAGTAGAAGTTTTAGCGAGCCCAAAGTTGCGTAAATCCCCAAGGCTTGATTGGATGTATCCCAGGCTGCTACAGGACGGCAAGGGAGGAGATTGCTGGGGCACTGGCAGAGATATTTAATACTTCACTGGCCAGATGTGAAGTGTTAGATAACTGGAGGACAGCTAATGTAGTTTCTTCATTCAAGAACGACAGGAAGGATAGGCCAAGTAATTACAGACCAATTAGTGTGACATCACTGATAGGGAAATTGTTGGAAAAAGTTCTGAGGGACAGGATCAATTAATACTTGGAAAGGCAAGGATTGATCAGGGATGGTCAGCATGAATTTCTTGGAGGTTGATCCTGTCTGCTAATTTAACTGAGTTTTTTTTGAAGAAGTGACTAAATATATTGATGAGGGGAGTGCAGTTGATGTGGTCTCCTGGGACTTCTGTAAGGCCTTTGACAAGATCCCACGTGGAGGGCTGGGCCGAAAGATGAAAATCAATGGGATCCAAGGCAAGATGGTAGACTGGTTCAAAAATTGGCTTACAAATAGGAAGCTAAGGATGATGGTGGAGGGTTGTAGAGTCATACAGCAAGGAAACAGACCCATCGGTCCAACCAGTCCATGCCGATCATAATCCCACACTAAACTTGTCCCACCTGCCTGTACTTGGCCCATAACCCTCCAAACTTTTCTTTTTCAAGTACATATTTAAATGTCTTTTTAAACGTTCTAACTACATTCACATCCACCACTTCCTCTGGAAGTTCACTTCACACATGAACCACTCTCTGTAAAAAAAAAATTGCCTCTCGTGTTTTTTTGAAATCTTTTTCCTCTAACCTTAGTCTTAATCTAGACTTGAAATTTCCCACCCTCGGGAAAAGACACCTGCCATTCACCTTATCATACCCCTCATCATTTTACAAACCTCTGCAAGGTCATCCCTCAACTTCCTATGCGCCAGTGAAAACAGTTCCAGCCTATCCAGTCTCTCTTTATAACTCAAACCCTCCATTCCCAGCAACATCTTGACAAATCTAACCTGAACCTTCTCCAGCTTAATAATATCCTTCCTATAGCAGGGAGACCAGAACTGGACACAGTATTCCAGAAGAGGCCACACCAACATCCTGTACAACCTCAACATGATGTTCCAACTCCGATACTCAAAGGTCTGAGCAATGAAGGTAAGCATGCTGAACGCCTTCTTAACCACCTTATCTGTATGTGATGTAAACTGAACCCCTAGGTCTCTCTGTTGTACAACATGGCCCAAGGCCCTACTCTTAATTGTATAAGTATTGTCTTTGTTTGTTTTACCAAAATGCAATACCTCACATTTATCCAGATTAAACTCCGTTTGCCACTCTTCAGCCCATTGACCCAATTAATCAAGATCTCTTTGTAATCTTAAATAACCTTCTTCACTGTCCACTATACAACCAATCTTGGTGTCATCCGTGAATTTACTAACCGTGCTTTCTATATTCTCATCGAAGTCATTTATACAAATAACAAACAAAAGTGGAGATAGCACCGATCCCTGTGAAACTGCGTTGGTCATAGGATTCCAGTCTAAAAAGACAGCCCTCCACCATCACTCTCTGTCTCCTGTCGTTAAGACAATTTTGTATCCAATTGGTAAACTCACCCTGAACGCCATGTGATCTAACTTTACTAATTACTCGACCATGTGGAATCTTGTAAAGGGCTTTACTAAAGTCCAAGTAAACAATGTCTTCCACTCTACCCTCAATCTCCGTGGTTACTTCCTCAAAAGATTTTTTAAATTCATTAACGGGGTGAGGGTGTCACTGGCTAGGCAGCATTTATTGCCTATCCCTAATTGCCCAGAGGGCAGATAAGAGTCAACCACGTTGCTGCGGGTCTGGAGTCACATGTAGGCCAGACCAGGTAAGGATGGCAATTTCGTTCCCTAAAGGACATGAGTGAACCAAATGGGTTTTTCCGACAATCCACAATGGATTCACAGTCATCATTACATCCTTAATTCCAGATATTTATTGAATTCAAATTCCACCATCTGCTGTGGCGGGATTTGAACCCGGGTCCCCAGAATGTTATCTGGGTCTCTGGATTAACGGTCCTGCAATATTATCACTCGGCCTTCGCCTCCCCTAAGGGAGTGTTTTTGTGATTGGAAACTTGTGACCAGCAGTCTACTGCAGGGATCGGTGCTGGGACCTTTGACGTTTATGTTTGCTAATGATTTGGATGTGAACATAGAAGGTATAATCTGTAAGTCTGCAGACGATATGAAAATTGGTAGTGTTGTTGATAGTGAGGAGGACGGTGTCAGGCTAGTCTAATATTAATCAGCTGGTAAATTGGGAAAGCAACGGCCGATGGAATTTGAGATAACAAGGTGTAGAGCTGCATGAACACAGCAGGTCAAGCAGCATCAGGGTGTAGAGCTGGATGAACACAGCAGGCCAAGCAGCAAGGCTGACGTTTCGGGCCTAGACCCTTCTTCAGAAAAAGGGACTTCTGAAGAAAGGTCTAGGCCCGAAATGTCAGCCTTCCTGCTCCTCTGATGCTGCTTGGCCTGCAATGTTCATCCAGCTCTACACCTTGTTATCTCAGATTGTCCAGCATCTGCAGTTCCTGCTATCTCTCAAGCAGCATCAGAGTTTTTCTGAAGAAGGGTCCAGACCCGAAACGTCAGCTTTCCTGCTCCTCTGATGCTGCTTGACCTGCTGCGTTCATCCAGGTCTATACCTTGTTATCTCAGATTCTCCAGCATCGGCAGTTCCCACTATCGGCCGATGGAATTTAATTCTCATTAGTCTGAAGTGGTGCATTTTGGGAGGTCTAATAAAGGAAGGGATTTACGCAATGGATGGTCAATCCTTAGGGAGTACTGAGGAACAAAAGAACCTTGGCCTACAAATCCATAGTTCCCTGAAGGACTCAGCACAGGGTGACATAGTGGTGAAGGAGAAATACAGGATGTTTGCCTTCATTAGCCAGGGTGTAGAATATAGGAGCAGGGAAGTCATGTTGCAACTTTACAGAGCATTGGTTAGGCCAGAATTGGAACACTGTGCAGTTCTGGTTGCACACTATCGGAGAGGTGTGATTGCACTGGGGAGGATGCAGTGGAAATTCACCAGGATGTTGCCTAGAATGGAGGGGAGGCTAGGAGCATAGGAGGGGGATCTGACTGACGTTTCCAAGATTATGAGAGGCATAGACAGAATGGATCGTAAGAATCTTTTCCCCATGGCCAACATGTCTGAGACCACAGAGCAGAACTTTAAAGTGAGGAGTAAGAGGTTTCAAGGGGATTGAAGGAAAAATGTTTTCACTCAGAAAATTGTAGAAATATAAAACGTGCTGCCTGAGAAGGTGTTTGCTTGTTGCCATAGATATGGTGGGCCAAAGGGCCTGTTTCTATGCTGTATGACTCTATGCTGGCAAAGGTTTCCACTGCAGGAACATGTCCTTCCACAACCCCATCCACCCTTCCAAGGGGCTCCCTTGTCGCTCAGCCTGTTCCCTGGCACGAATTAGAGCCTTCAGAGTTGAGAAAATCCAGGAAAAGATATTCAATAATGAGGGGCCTCAACCAAACAATTTCCTGGCCTCGTCGTCAATGCTGGCTCTCACACACATGCTGCACATAAACACAAAAGTGTGGAGTGGCAAATTTTCAGAAGACTGTGGTCAATATTCATCCACGTGGCAGCTAGGGGTGGGGCCAAATGAGGAGTGGGGGGAAAAAGGGTGGGGGCATTCTGCTCAAGAATCTGTCAACTTTGTATAGGCTTTTCGTCTTTTAATCCATTTCTGAACTTTCTTTCTATTTGATTCAGGAAGATTACCAAAATTAATGTGGTAGGTACATGTATACAAAACACAGTCCAAATGACTTCCCTAATCCCACATTTTGAAATCTAGTGTCAGAATCTCACCTAGTGATAGAATGGTGACATAGGCTGGTCTATCAGATCGCAGCAGAGAATGTTCGCGTGCCTTGTTGAGAGAAGGATCCTTGTCAAATACTCCCTTCACGGGGCCCACAACAGAGTCAAAGCCATGCATGCGGAAGGTGAAGGCTTTGTGGGGCTGACTGTATCGCTGACGCTCCTGTGGAAAAGACACAAACTATCAACTCAATGTTCAATAGCCCAGGCTGAACCGAGCTTTGAAATCCCACTCCGGGTTTACAGAAATAATGAAACACAAGAATGGCCATCACATGGAAGGTGAATAGGGATTGTAGCTTCAAACAGAGGTCATCACAACTGGTTTTGCAGCAAATACGACAAGTAAAATGGGATATAATGTTTGACAATTGGTCAATTTTTTGAGATTTAACTGGTAGGGTAGATAAAGGAAACCAGAATATTTAGTATATTTGGATTTCCAAAAGTGATTTGATAAGGTGCCATTGAAAAATTTAGCACACCACATGAAGCTGGGATGATATATTAGCATGGATAAAAGATTAGTTTATGAATAGGAAGCAGAGGCATCTTCACTGTCAGGCTATAACTAATACAGAGTCACAAGGATAAGTGCAAGGTCCTCAGATATTTCCACAATAATGGCTTAGATAAAGAGACTGACAGAAATGTAATATCAGCAAATGTAGATACAAAATTTGTTGGGAATACAAATTGTTGAGAGGACACAAAGAGGCTGAAAACAGATATGAACAAGTTAAATGAGTGGGCAACAGGTGGCAGATGGAGTATATTGGAGGAAGTGTGAGGTTATTCACTTTGACCGATTAGAAGTGTAGAATATTTTCCAAAAGGCATGAAACATGTAAATATTGTTGTTCAGACACTTGGGTGTACTCCTACAAGGAAGCGACTGTCTGCATTCCAGTACAGCAATTAGGAAGGCAAATGGCATGCTGATATTTATTCCAAGAGGACTGAAATACAGAAATAAAAATACAACTCTAACAGGTCATGGTGTTTTCTGCATCTGGAATATTATGTGTAATTGTAATCTCCATATTTAAGGCATTGGAGGCAGGACAGCAAGGATTCACGAGATTGGTCTCTGGGGTGAGAAGGTTGCCCTATGATAAGAAGCTGAATAAACTGAATCTAAATTCTCTTAAGTTTGGAAAATGAAAGGTAGTCTCATTGAAATTTACAAAATTCTGAAGGAGCTCGACAGAGTTGACATTGAGAAGTTATTTCATAGAATCATACAGCACAGAACAGGCCCATAAGCGTTGTGGTGACTATCACTAAAATGCTTTCTTTCTGCCACCTCAAACACTTGTCTAGCTTCACTCCTCAGAATTAGGTTCAGCACTGCACGTCCCTTATTGAACCTTCTACCTGTTGATATAAAAAGCTCTCCTGAAGACATTTCAAGAAATGCCCCCTTTAACCCTTCACACTATAACTTTTCCAATGAATGCTGAAGTTGAAATCCCAAAATAATTACCCTATAAGTGTTCGTACACACTTCAGTGAATTGTCAACATATCTGCTCTGCAATTGCCCAGTGACTGTTTGTGGGTCTGTAATACACTCCCAGCATGCTAACTGCCTCCTTTTTATTCCCAAGCTCTACTCTTAAAGCCTCATTTGAACACCCTTCCAAGGTATCGTTCCTCCTTAGTGCAGTAACTGACTCCATAATTAATAATGTAACCACCACCTCCTCTATTACATCTTTCCCTGTCCTGCCTGAAGATCCTACACACTGGAAAGTTGAGTTTCTAGTCCTGTTCGTTCCTCAACCACATCTCTGTGATGGAAATAACATCACAATTCCACGTATCAATCAATACCCTTAAATTCATCTGTCTTACCTATATACTCCTAGCATTAATGTTGAGGCCATCCAGCCTCGCCTTACTATCCTGAAACTCAAAGCTGAACTCTCTCTGTCTTGGATAACAAGGTGTAGAGCTGGATGAACACAGCAGGCGAAGCAGC